AAAAAAAAAAAAAAAAAAAAAAAAAAATTGTGAACAAGATTCAACAATTTGTATATATACAAAAGAATTTGTGTTTACATTTTACCTTGTTTACACCGTATAAAGAAGATTCAATTGAACCTCCCCACCACATAGCTCGGCTTGTCATCATTAATACGAGCGACACATGACACTAGTAACAGGGGTCCGACACAAGGGACACGTCTCTTTGTCTTCTAACCAACGACTAACACAAGCAAAATGAAATCCATGGCAACAAGGAGAAAGTATCAAACACATATCCCCTTTTTTAAAATCTGCAATACAAATAGAACAATCACTGTTTTTTGCTTTAATTTCTTCTTCGCAAACATCTATCACTACTTCAGCAGCTGAATTTTCCGCCGGACATGGGTTTGCCCGAGCTCCTGCTGCTATTTCCACAACATTATTCGAATCAAAGCACCTAAACTTTTTCTTCAATATGATAAATAATGGGACAAGCAAAAAGGCAAAGGTAATCAAGAAGATATAAGTCCCGTTGATTTTTGGCATCGGTTTGGTGGTGACAAATTCGCAGAATTTCGCACGTTGGGCCAAGGAGTTAGAAGATATAGAAGAAGAAGAAAGCAAAGCAAGCTCGTTACGTGTAAGTATTATTAATGATTTAATACGTCATTTTGGCGAACTTAAACTAGTAATTTTTCTTTTTCTTTTTTTCTTAACAGTAACAGGGAAAGAAGTGGAAATTAAAAACTTTTTATTTTGACGTGGACTGGGTCAGGGCTTTACTATTTATGCATTATATGGAGAGGAAACGGTCCAATTTAGCCGAATTCAAAAGTCACCCTCTACGGCCTACGCGCTTCTTTTTCTTTTTCTTTTTATTTTCTCTAGAAGAAAGGTTTATTTATACTTTATTTTATTCCGGTCAGATTATTGAGAGGGGCAGTAGTTGTTATTACTACTATTGTACCTCTTGCTACAAAACTTGAACGTTAATATTAAAATTTTAATGCCCAATACTACATTAGAATACAACTAATTTCTTCCAAAAGTAAGCTATGCTGCTAGCGTCCGCAACATTTTCAATTGCATCAGAAGAAAAAATAAAATTCAATTGCATGCTCCATCCCATTTTATGTGATGCATTGACACAAAGTTTAAGAAAAATAAATTTTTAAAAGATTTGTGACTAAAACAATTACTCTATATTTGTTTTTTTATAAATTATTTTATTAAAATAAAATAAAGAGTCTAAGATTAAATTTATTATAAATATAAAAATATTTCCTCCATCCAAATTTATTTATTCACTATTGACTTGGCACATCTTTAAAGAATTAGTAAATTGTGGTTATTTTATTATAACCCCTAATTATTATTAAAAAAACTAACTTTGACTATTAAAAATCTAAAATATTGGAAAATAATAAGGATAAATTAGGTATAAATTAGTAATTATTTATTAGTTTTCTAAAAAATAAATATTTATTTTTAATATAATAGACAAATAAAATTAGAGTGCATTCATAAATTGGTAAATTAGAGGGAGGAAGTACTATATTATATAGGCCTGTTCCCCACTTTCAAATTTTATAGTCTCCTCTCTCGCTCTCTCGCTCTCTCTCTAGATTTTCTCCTTATTGTGGATTGGTTCTCCGTGATAGGGGCGTTAATCTCGGTGCTCCTAAATCCTAATCCACAGTGTTCCTTGGATTTGCAGGTAATTTTCATTTTTTCTTGAATGTATTAGTTTATGCATTTTTGTTTTTATCCTTTGGATCTGTTCAAATCACTAAGCTTATTGTACTGATTTGTGTTCTGTTAGTTTTTCTTTTTCGCTGTGATTTTTATCACTTGCGGCTATCTTTTTCTACTCTTTAGTGGAACAATCTGCACTTTTTGCTGTCGTTTTAATCTTGTTTAATTTCTGGGTTTTAAAGAATTCAGCATAAAGCAATAAGCCAGATGAATTGGGAAACTATCTTGATTGTTCATTTGATTGGAAAAAAAAAGATTAGTAAAAATTTATTTCTATAAGGAAAGCTTTTCATTTTTAACTTTTAACGTTTATGAGTTATGATGAAGATGCATAGAGAATCGGGCCTGCATATTCGTTGAAACTTTTATATATTATTGAAGGACTGTTAAGTGTGTTCTTGGATGCCCTTTTTATTTTATGTAGCAAACCCC